TCGATTAGCAATTTTTCAAATTTTTGATATTACAATTTTTGATTTTTCGATTTTTCAATTTTTCGTTTTCTCAATTTTCAAGTTCTTGATTTTAATTTTTCATTTTTTCGATTTTATATCACAATTTTTCGTTTTTTCAAGTTTAATTTTTCAATTTTTCAATTTCTCGACTTCCAAGTTTTTCAATTTTTGGTTTCCTCAAATTCCCGTTGGCAATTTTCGATATTACAATTTTTCATTTTTAAATCTTTTAATTTTTAGTTTTTTGATTTGAATTCTCGGTTTTTCCATTTTGTAGCGGAGCTTTCAAAGCGCTCCGCTAGTACCCTTTCGAGGGCGCTGTCCTCGGCAGCGCCGATATCAACCCCACCAAGCTCACCCCCACTGGAACGCACCCCACCTGAAGTTACTTCATTGTGCAGGTACTCCCACGCATCTCAACCCTGCCTATAAAAGGGCAACTCGGACGCTTTCCAGGCAGATGGAACTCCACCATCTCCACCTTAAGGGTTGCACTGTCTCGGTCCCCTTCTGGTCGTTTCCAGGGCTGCACTGTGTTACGGTCCCCTGCGCTACTTCGAGATCATCACCAGGGCTGCACTGTGTTACGGTCCCCTGCGCTGCTTCGAGATATTATCACCAGGGCTGCACTGTTTTACGGTCCCCTGCGCTGCTTCGAGATCTTCACCAGGGCTGCACTGTTTTACGGTCCCCTGCGCCGCTTCGAGATCTTCACCAGGGCTGCACTGTTTTACGGTCCCCTGCGCCGCTTCAACGACGTCATCTCCAGGGTCGCACTCTCTAGGTCCCCTGTGCCGCATCGCCGACGTCGTCATCTCCAGGGTCGCACTGTCTAGGTCCCCTGTGCCGCATCGCCGACGTCGTCATCTCCAGGGTCGCACTCTCTAGGTCCCCTGTGCCGTATCACCGACGTCGTCATCTCCAGGGTCGCACTGTCCAGGTCCCCTGTGCCGCATCGCCGACGTCGTCATCTCCAGGGTCGCACTCTCTAGGTCCCCTGTGCCGCATCGCCGACGTCGTCATCTCCAGGGTCGTACTCTCTAGGTCCCCTGTGCCGCATCGCCGACGTCGTCATCTCCAGGGTCGCACTCTCTAGGTCCCCTGTGCCGTATCGCCGACGTCGTCATCTCCAGGGTCGCACTGTCCAGGTCCCCTGTGCCGCATCGCCGACGTCGTCGTCTCCAGGGTCGCATTCTCTAGGTTTCCTGTACCGCATCGCCGACGTCGTCATCTCCAGGGTCGCACTGTCCAGGTGCCCTGTGCTACATACATCGCTGCCGTCATCCCCTACGACGCTCTGAGTCCCAGGAGCCGCCACCATCCCCGACGAGAATTGCCACCACTTCGAGAACCTATACCCTACTTTTGATTTGTATTGTTCTTATTATTAATAAACCGCTGAGCTACCACAATCTGTCGCCCTCACGTGGGGCCGCGAACAAGGGAGGATACCACAATTTTTAAAATTTTGGATTTTTCGTTTTCTCCATTTTTGACTCCTTGGGTTTTCAATTTTCAGAGTTTTCGGACTTTTCATTTTTTCGATTTTTAAGTTTAAAATTTTTCAGTTCTTCGATTTTTTGAGGTTTCGATGTCCCGATTTTTTCTATCCCCCAAATTTTCGATTTTTCAGTTTTTTAGATTTTCGATTTCTCGATTTTTCAGTTCTTCTGTTTCTATTTTTTATTATTCGAATTTTTATTTTTTTTTATTTTCCAGTTTTTTGATTTGTCAATTTTTTAATTGGAATTCTTATCTCGGTTTTTCAATTTTTAAAATTTTGAATTTTTCGCTGTTTTTTTTTTCGTTTTTTCATTTCTTTTATTTTTTCAACGTTTCTTTTGGTTTTACATTTCGTTTATTAAATGTTTCAAATTTTCAGTCTTTGATTTTTCAATTCTTCGATTTTCCAATTTCTAAATTTTTCAATTTTGTAATTTTTGGATCTCCAGTTATACCATTTTCCGATTTCTTTAATTTTTTATATTTCAATTTTACAATACATATTTCGTTTTTCTCATTTTGCAATTCCTCAGTTTTTAAGTTTCTCTATTTTTAATCTTTCGATTTTTGAACGAATTTTTCGTTTCGTCAATTTTTCAAGTTCTTGATTTCCAGTTTTAAGATTTTTTAATTTTGCGATTTTGCAATTTTTCCATTTTTCTGATCTCGGAATTGTGAAAAAACGAAAAATTAAAAATCGGACAAAATTGAAAAATCGAAATATTAAAAATAAAAAAATTCAAAAATCGGACAAAATTAAAAAATAGAACAATTGAAAAAACGAAAAATTACACGAAAAGATGAAAAATGAAACATGAAAAACTAAAAATCGGAAAAAAAATTAATCAGAAAATTGGAAATAAGCTTGGAAATAAACCCGAAAGTGCCAAAACCAAAAATTATAGAACCATCAAAATTGTAAAGTCGAAAATCTTGTAACATTTAAGATCAAAAATTGAAAAATTAAATATGGGGAAATTAAAAATTTAACGATCGAAAATTTAAAATAGAAAAACTGAAAAATCAATTAAACCAAACGTTCTAAAATGCAAAAATAATTCTAAAATCGTAAAATTGAAAAAAATGAAAATTTTTAAAAATTATAGTTATTATTACATATTTAAAATGTAGACTAAAAAAATTGCAGATCAAAAATTAAAGAAACAAAAATTTGAAAAATCGGGCGACCGAAAAATCTAAAATTGAAAAATCTAAAAACTCAAAAAATCAAGAAAATAAAAAACGAAAATTGCAAAACGAAAAACTGAAAAATTAAAGATTGAAAACTCGTGAAATTTCAAATCTAAAAACTGCAAAAAATAAAAACTAAAATATTCAAAAGTTGTAAAATCGAAAAACTGAACAAATTTAAAATGAACACTCGAAGAGTTACATACAGGGTGTTTCTTTTATTTGATACAACCCCTGTAACTTTTTTATTCTTAAAGTTAAACCTGTAGTTCTTTGAGCAAATGTATCATTTTAAAAGATCTATGTGATGGCAACCTCACATTTAAATTATCACTTCCGGTAGAACTGGAAATGACATCAACTTTATTTTTTTTCATGGAACCCTAGTTATATTTTTTCATAAATGGAAAGACTGATTTTTTCTAAAAATCAAAGGCAACCAATATTTCTAAAATCAATACTTAAAAAGTTATTAAATAAAATACACGAAAAATTCATATTAATTGATGACAATCTAGTAGCTTGAAAAATTGACACTCATGTCATTTATTCACATAGGTGATCTTTTAAAATGATACAAATTTGGTCAAAGAACTATGTTTTTTTTTAAATAAAAAAATTTCGGGGGTTGTATCAAATAAAAGAAACACGTGGTATAATAAAACTGAAGAAACAAAAAAAAAATCAAAAGTGAAAAATTTCAAATCGAAAAATTTAAGAAACGAAAGAAAAAAACTGAAATTGAAAAAACAAATATTTATAAAATCGTAACATTCAGAAATTGAAAAATTATACAAATAAAGAAAATAAAAAACCGGAAGGAAAAATTGCAAAACGAAAATTCGAAGAACTGAAAAATTAACGAAACGAAAAATTGAAAAAAATTGAAAACTGGAAAAATTTTAAATCTAAAATTTCAAAATCCAAAAATTGAAGAAACGAAAAAAATTGGAAAGTTGCAAATGGAAAAACTGAAGAAACGAAATATTGAAAAATCGAATAACTGAAAAAATAAAAATAAAACGAAAAATTGAATAATTGAAGATTTTAAACACAATATTGAAAAAACGAAGAACTGATAGAACAAAAAATTATAAAATGGAAAAACATTGAACATCGAATAACTGAAAAAATAAAGAAAATAAAAAGCTGAAACGAAAAATGCCGTTTTTCAAAGAAGCGAGATTTGTTGAGCTACATTTCAGGAGCGATGGGAGTTCTGTAGAAATAACTTTCGACTATTTTTACAAGTTTTAAGCATGGTAAATCGCTAATGCAAATTTATTTTATACAATACACCTATAAAAATTACTCTAACTTATTTAATAGTTTGTCCATTATTAATTAAAACGTAAATAATTTTATGATTTCAATAAAGTCTTGTAACGTAGTAAAAAAAAATGTATTTCTCACAGTGCAGTGGTGGCAAAATTTGCGCCTTATTCCCCTGGATTTACCCATCTCAACGCCGCCCCTGCTCCACAATGCGCTTTCCCAACAATACAAGCGCACTTTAGTTTTCAATTTTCTTTCGTTATCCAGAATCTACGACGCCACCACAAACCCGCTTATCAAGCAAAGACACTTTTTCTTTTCGTTATGTGAGTTTCCGAGTTGAAACTTGGCGAGAGAACCATCAAAATACGAAACAACTCTCAAGACTAACTCGTCAGAGCGCAAAGTTATGTAGGAGCGCCGTAACTAAAGAAACAATATTTCAAGCCTATCCAGTCCTTTGTGTATGAATTTCGGGATAATTTACAGCTTAATTTGAGTATCATTTATCAAGTGGCTGTTACAAAGTTCGGAATTACAATAATACCTAAAATCGGCGATTTTCATTAATCTTGAGAGAGAGGGGAAGAGTGAAAAATTGAGGTTGTTGATTCTGCTCAGTTTCGACGCGAAAAGAAGGCGAACTAGTTCTAGATGAAGGTACCCTCATTTAACCTATGAATATTCAAACAGGTCTCGAATTAACCGCCTACCAGCAGGTGTGTGCAAACAAAGAGTTGGACCACAGCCACCCTAAAAATCCAATTACGTCATCGGCGCCCTTGATTTTGATTAACAAAATTTTTCGAATTCTCGGGGGATTTGAGGCGTGCCAACTCAACCGCCAAAGGGATTATTTTCCTGATTATGAATGCGGCCGGATTCCGCGCTGATATCGGTTTAACTTACAGAAAACCGATACACTGATTTTTATATATTTAATTAAATTCATATTTAAGAAGACATACTCAAGACGAATCCAAGATTCACCAAAATTAGTGTGTACTCACTTTTTGTCGGTTTCGATGAACGTGTCGAACTCCACCGACATCTTGCAGCACAAAGCCTTCCTGTTGTGTGACGAAGAACAGTTGGTGTTGATCATGTGGCCATCTGGAATCGAGAGTGAATTACTGTTTCGACTTTCTTTAAGTGCGTGTCTCACAAAGCAGACGCACACATGCACCACACTTTCGTTTAACAAAAAATGGATTAACGGATGGCAATGACCTTAGGAAAGGTCCTCGAAGCGAGGGAAGAGTTGGAGATACGAAAAACATCGTTCCTAGGAGGGTTGGAATGTGGCGATTTTATAAATAAATGTGCTAGCTGAAGCATGGAGAGCACCTGCATATCGCAACCAAGCCGTTCCACACAGGAAAGCAACTACAGGAAACTCTTTGATTAGAGATCTTCTTTATTCCGCCTATTTTACATTAAATGCTGGCGTGCAGGGCCGGACTGAATTAAGCGAAACGTGATGATGTCTCAGTCCGACAGCAACAATAGCAACAGTGGAGGTTTTATTCTAATTAGAGTCTGGGTGTACACAATGGGACTGTCGTTTGGAATCGATGATTCTGCATACTTGGCTGATTCGAAGTTCAATGAATAACGACACAAAAGTTACAAAAATGGAAGAACTACAACCAGAATCTTTCGAAGATGCAATGTGATCTTCAAAAATCAAAAAAGATAAATGGATGTATCATTTGAAATGGATTGTAGACGAAAAACCTTTTACCGTCCATATAAATGACAGTCCTACAAAAAGAATGAACAATGGGTTTAGAGAGGCAATTAGCATAAGCACGGAATATCAAAGAAAATGATGAATAGGAAAGTTGGAAATTAATTAACTGTATTGTGTTCCAAAAGCTTTGGAATCGTGACTTTATTGTAAATAATTTAACACCACAGTGTTGGGTAACTTGTGAACACACACAGATGAAACTCGACACACATATTCACGATCCGAATTCGAAATCGTGTTAATTCCAGAAAGCTATCCAATATTTTACGATGGTGATTGATACATCAACAAAATTTAAAAATTATTCACCCTATTTAATACCACTAACGAAATACTGTTGTTCCCTTTTGTGGAGAGATTCCTATTCTTCCCAAAACTGCCAAATACATATGCATTTTATTGACTTCATCAAAAGTTATTCCCTCCAAAAACCTGCCCTGACTACACACCAACAAAACTAAACTTCACAAACAAGATAAAAACAACCGTTTCCAAGCACCCCCCTACTAAACACAATCTCCATAGAAAACTTTAGCTTCTGGCAAAAACTTAATTTGCCAAATTGCCCTCACGCACCCTCCTCCCTTAATAACTCACTTGTTTTGAGCTGGAACTCCGGATCGTCCGTATCCGTGAAGAACCATGTCTGCAACAATAAAAAAATTATTAACCGAGGATAAAAGAAAAATGGCGGTTAATTAAGTGGAGCTGCTTTCTTCTAGGGTTACGTCACTGACGTGGCGCGAGTTTTTTCCCCAAATTACTGAGTCATTGTCGCAGAGTTGAACGTCATCTTTAATTATTCGCGGCGAATCACTTTTTTCCGACAAGCCAAAGATGCACGATTTCCGTCGTTTAAGGCCGTGAAATTTCGATATTTCGGTCCTGGAGCGTGCACAGATGACGACTCTTCCGATAACAAAAAGAGTAGTCATTAAGGGCGGCTTCCAGAATCGACAGAGCTAATGAAAGGCGTCTAGTGGTTTTTGAGGAAAATTACGGCTGTGCGATAACTAGGTGGAGTTCGTTGTATATTTTAACAAGCACGAAACTTTTTAATTTTATTTTAGAGACAATTTTTTGTATTTTAATGTACGCAGACTTCAAACTGAGATGTTCATTTTCTGAGGCAACAAAAAATTGTCTTGAAATTTTTTTTTTTGGTGAATTTAATAACGAATTTTTCGCAAAAAAACAGACACGTCCAGGCCACTAGCCACTGTTAAATATTTAAAAGAAACCGCAACCCCATTCGAAAATCGGTACGCCATTTTTAATTCAAAACTTGGTCCGATCAGGGATTGACAGGCGAAATTGCTAAATTATAAAAGCCGGGCAACTCATTCAAATTGAATCTTTCATTTGCCAATAATTAAACCCGTTCCGGAAATCTATTTACTTTATCAATTCTTCCCTTTCGACAGAATAACAATTTTCATTCCAGACTCACCCCAGCCATTAATATTTTTTCGTCAAACAATAAAAAATCAGATCTCTTGCCTTCAAATCAATGTCATACTTTAAAAGGGTTACTTTCAATAAAAAAAGTATTAAATAATTTTAAAATTATAGTTCGTTTACCGAGTAGATGGATTCTTGGTTTAACTTTACATAGAATTCCGTTTTTAGATTTTTTGGTCCACGAAAATGTAACACGCGATTTATAACTACGTCATTGTCGTGTCTCTTAGCAGAACATAAATTAGGTTTTTCTAGTAAAGTGCACGTCGGTAATAAAGCTGAATAGCCCGATTGATCAATCTCGAGTTGTGTAACCGTAAACAACATTACTCGTTAATCTGATGCTTTTATATGTTTAAAGTGTTATGAAGTGGTTGTAGAGTTTTCGGCAGCAGTGGCTCGTCTGTGGTAATTAATTGCGGCGCCTTCGCCCCAACTTCAATATTTAGAAGTTTCCCGATCACGCAAAAATACTAAATTATAAACCCTGTCAACTGGTTTTTCATTTACCACTAATTAAAACCGCTCCGGAAATCTCGCAACGCCTATTCACCCAGAATAACACAGTTTTTCGCTTTTTGGCTCTTTGTTTATCAAACAATAAAAAAAAAATTAAAGCTCCGCTTCCCATTTCGCGTCACCCCCTCTCCCATCAAAATTTAAAACATATAAAAATATTTACAGTCCCCTCTGTATCTATCTCCGGGGTTCAGGTGCGTGCGTATGGGGGTCGAGATGCAAACATCGATTAGAAATTCGATACTGCCGGAATGGGGCGGTTCGCCGGGTGCGGGTGTGCTGACTAGGCATAGGCATATAGGGGTGAGACATTTTAATGCTTTTAGGCGAGGCCCAAACGTTTGTTGTTTTAATTTGAGTGAGCGCCGCGCCGAACGGACCTGCCCGAAAATGTGTGCTCAAGCATTTTCCGGAGATACCTATTGTAAAATATTTGGATAAGTGGCGAAGAGCAGGGTTCGGGCTTTGCATACAATCAAGTAAATAAATAAGGGAGGAATGCACGCTACGCGGATACCTCTATACCTGCACGGAATCGGGCTTTATTTGCCGGAAAAATACATTAGGCTACATTTGCACGCCGACGCCAAATACTATTTTTCTTTTAGATGGATCGACGGGGAAGTTCAGCGTTTGCGGAAAAACAAATGCGGATTCTGGGCCGGTGGGAGGGGTGGAAGGACGCACGCCAAGTTTAAACATTTAGTTTTATACTCAGGCGTATAAAAAAAAAACAAAATGTATAGATAGATAGATTTTCTGAGCCTTTTAGTACGTCAAAATGTTGTCATTTGCACAATATATATATAATTTTCATTTAGTTAAACGTCAATATACAGATAATACCTACACAACATACTCATTATAATTAAGTATAGGAGTAAAATAATTACACACAAGTAATTTTAAATACAATTTCGCTGCCCATTATGACACCAAATTACGTATGTCGTTGCTTAGAACATACCCTGTGCTTTGTTTTCATTTTCGTGAATTCATTCGCTACTTAATTATCAAATTTTCGACAAAAATCTGCTTTTTTAGGGCTACATCGTTATTTGACAGTTAATCAAGATTATCCACGTGTGTTTTAACACAGAAGTTAATTGTTTTTCGACAAATATAAAAAATTCATGATTGAATCTTATTTCCGTAACGGTCAGCAAGTACATATGTATGAAGCCCGACCTTGTTTTCAGGAATTTCGTGAAAAAGTCCTAGTTGCTCTTCTTGAAGTTAATTTTTTACACACTGATTTATTGTAACTGATTTGATAAAAAATGAACAATGATCTTCGCGATATAACGTTTTTTAATAATGAAACTTAGTTTTATCGATCGAGGTTATAAACTAGCCAAATATAAGAGTGGAGAAAATCCTCATTATTTCCATTACACAGCACAATTCCAAGGGATAATGTAAGATATATTTGAAGCAGATAATCAACGGGAAAAAGTGGTCTTTCAGCAATAAGAACATCCTGAACTTGAAGTGTTTATGTTTGTATTTCAGAATAATGTCGCGTAGAAATTCATGCGTATTTTCACATTTTCAATCGGTCCACCCTTGGTCGTAAGGTAAAAGCAGTATAACTGCGCCATGCAGTGACTCGCTTGCGTGCTATGTTATATAAAGAACAATATTTTGAAAAACACTATTTTTAAACGATCAGTGAATACAATTGAAGACCTCGAACTGAGAATCATACAAGAATGTGGAAATGTTTCCCCAAAAGTTCTTTTTTTTGAGTTTTGAGAATATGAAACGTCGATTCAATTTATGAATCGAAGCTGGGGCTCAACACTTCCAGCAGTTGTAAATTCAATTAATAATAATTAATATGTTACTTATCATAAATAAATCATTTTAAATCCAACGAGGGTCTAATCCTTGTTATCTTGTTGACAAAACATAGCCTACCAGGCTATGTTGTGTCATTGCGAATCGTCAAAACAAGTTGAAATATACTTCAAGACTCATAAAATTCGACAAAAATAGGATCTTCAGATAAAATTTGTTGATTTTCTTAGTAATTTCGGTCCCGCAGACTACCGCAAAAAACACAAGAAAAGCTCTAAAAGTAACATTTCTGAAGTATTTTTTAGGAATTTCTTGAATCTACAAACGCCAGAATAGGGAAAATGTTGTTACTCAACAATTTATTTCTCAAATATTTTGTTTGAAAGTCAAATTTTTGGAAAATCGTAAACATTGAGAGGGTATGTCATTTGCTAAAACTAATTTTGGCAGATAACATAGCTTCCAAAAAAAGAAAGGGTGGGTGGGCGGGGCTAGAAATTGATAAGATAAGACTAATTTTGGCAAATGAGATATCCTCTAAGAGAGGGCGGGTAGGTGGGGCTTGTACCTGCTAAAATATACTAGAACAATAATAATATATAATATATTTACTAGAATTTGTGTAAAATTATTATTCTTGACATAGCTCCTCAAACAAATCGGGAAAACTGTAAAACATGTATTTAAAAACTTTTGGGCAAATGAGAAGAAAATAGCGAGGGGTGGGTGCTGCTAGTACCCCTTAAGACTACTTTTAACAATGACGTACCCTCTAAAAAATTTAATTAAATTATTATAAGAAAACACACTAGAGGCTCCAAAGCACTTTTAAATTCTTTCCAAACAGTACTAGCCCCGCCCATCCACCTTCTCTTTTCTTCAAGGGTATCTCATTTGCCAAAATCAGTCTTATCATATCAGGTACTAGCCCCACCCACCCACCCTTTCTTTTTTTGGAAGCTATGTCATCTGCCAAAATCAGTTTTATCTTAGCAACTACTATTATATACAGAATCATTCCGACTCGACTGGAATAGAATGGATTTGACTAGACTCTACTTCTCCCGTTGTCTGGAGTCCACTCGTTGATTAAGACTCGTTCCCAAAGGTATTTAAACCCATACATTCCTCTGGGTAGTTCGCGAACGCCGCTTCGAGGTTTTTCTGGACCCCGCAATCAACACTTCTGGTAACCCGCTCCAGACTTGTCTTTATGCGAACGCCGCCCACCCGCCATCACCGATGATGAGTCACCCATCATCGCCGCACATATTAGAAAGCCCATAGGCGGCATATGGGTTTATTTCGGAACAATATACCCAATAGTCCCCTTTTCGCAAAATAACAATTCGGCATATCGCGAGAGCCCCATAACAATCAGAATCGTCAAAACAAACCAAAATATACTTCAGAACTCATAAAATTGGATAAAAATATCACAATAATGCATATTTTTAAGGCCAACCGCTACGTTTTCTGCATGGAATTTTCTTTACATTTTCAGAATGTAATACAGGGCTGTCATAAATTATTCTAAGGGCGTAGTTGGCCATGGATCTCAAAAATCCCGCTTAGTTCTCACTTGTCACATTAATGTCTAATGTCATTTGTAACTTGTCATTTGAAGTCGTCGTTTTTATTGTTTTATTGTTTTTCAAGTGCGAATTACAATAATTCTTGTTGATCCAAGCTCAAAACAACAAAACAGTCATTTTCAGAACTCTTGGTGGTTGCGTACGAAAATTTTGTTTTTGTGCTAGGAAGCGAAGACTGTTGAAATGGTTTATTCTGTTGAACAAGACACTTTCATCATGTCTTATTATCGCAATGGGACTTTGTAAAGGAAGAGTGAGTGCATTCTGTAAC